CTACTCACACGAGCCAAGGTGTGAAAACAGGTTTCGGGTGAAGCCATCACATGATAGGGTGGGGCTAGGTTTCACAATGGGTTCACCCGAAACCTTGGCTGATTGTGACCCGCACCCTGACCCTGCCATAGGGTTTATAATCTGGGACTGTCCACCAATTGCTCTGAAGAAGCTTCTTGGAGGAGAGGTGAAACGTCTTCAAGAAACCTAAAGAAGTCCAGACGCTTTTCTTTCCAAGCTTCTTAGAATATGACGTGGTTCACAGCTCAGTATTAATGGCTCCACAGGTGTTGTGGGTTAGTCTCTTTCTCATGAAGTTGCTGTCTTAGATCAGAAAGGAATGGGCAAAGCTGGCAGTTCCCAAAAATGTATTTCTGGACATAATCCAGGAAGTTTAACTCTGAAAATTTAATACAAATGAGATGAAATCATAGAGAAATGTGGAACTTCTCTGGCCTTTATTCAATGTCGTAACACTGGAACAGAAGCAAAGATTGCAACCGGATTTCCCTTTTAGTCCCACACTGAACTGGTGACTTTCATTTTTAGTGTTCCTTATGTCATGATATCACAGTCAGTTTTGTTATGATCACTGCGCTGCAAACACGAGGACTGTTGAGGGTTATTATTGGGATAATGGAGACATCACGGCGCTGCCTTATTGAATTATCTTTTACTTTCTCTTTCGTGTGGGACTGGCGGGTCTTACAGTTATGGCGTCTTAATGTGATCGCCATCATTAGTGCATTAACACTCCAGGAAGTTCCCACTTATAAAGGTCACATACAGGCAGGAAACGGTCCTTCTTCGTCTGAAACCCGACTTCCTTCGGTCTCCCATTAACGAAGCTCGCCGTCTCCCCTCACCTCCAGGTTTGAGATCGATGAGACCTCACCGAGCATGTCCGGTTGCTGCGGCGACGACTGTTCTTACGAGATCCTGAGCAGGCGGACCAAGCACGGCGAGGCCTCGGCGGGACACACCCACGGGGGCGGACACTGCGGGGGCTGCTGCCACTGATCGGCTTCGGTTACGCCACGCGATTGGTTAAAAGCCAGCAACTTTAACCGGCTGCGTGCGAAAGCTTCAGCTGCCTGCTAGCCCACGAGTGGTTTTGAATTATGGAGGCCGACAGGTGGGAAAACCCACCTGCGCATTAAAAGCCGGCATCTCGATGCAGCGTGAGCTTTCGCACGCAGCCTTTTCTATGTTTTTGTTTTTGTTTGTTTGATTTGTTTTCCAGCCCCTCGGCTCATTGTCCAAATCATCTCTTCCCATTCTCATAACGCTGTTATTACCAGAACTGGTTTCCAGTCAAGAAAAAGCTGACGGTCTCCATCACGGAGACCGATCCTATCCCATGCAGCTCTCATCATCTCTGTGTTGCTATACTGTATTGGATCTGCTTCTTAAACTGTGGTTCGAGACCTAAAGTTGACTCTTGGCCTCGAGCTGTATTGAAGAAACTCCCCACTTGTGGTCTCTCAAGTGTAAAACGGGATTAGTTGAGTCTTGAAATCACAACTAAAACCATCCAAAATAAGCAGATAAAAATAACTCAGTCAGTTTCTACAATCCAGCTCGGGGGGTTTTCTGGGGCCTTTGCACTGAGACGACTTGCTTGTTTCACTGCACCGGGGTCCTCGGATCGGGCTTCACGTGAGAGCCCGAGTTTAGGTCCTGGTTAAACCAGCACGAGAAGCGCCGTCGCACTGTAATATTATCTGTTCTGACTCTAGTTGTAAGTTATTCTGTAACAGAAGACACTGCAGCTAGCAGCAGCTGGCACGTGATACTGCTGTTACATGATTACAATACACCATCGGCACCACCCGCCTCCTCGATTCAGGTAAATGTATCGATGTCTCCCTCGCTTTTAATGCTTACAGCTTATCAAATGAGATTTCCAAGATTGCCTTTTTCTTTCGAGTCTCTCAGTAAAATACGTTTAAAAAAATGTTTTCTCAACATCATCAGTTGCTGTAAATCTGCATCCGACTAAGTAAATATTCCCAGTGTGTCCCCACCTGTGTCATATCGCCTCATCAGAGATGCATGCTGTAACTGGATGCTTTTTCAGCTTCACAGAAGACATCTTTAGTTGTGAAAATTCATCATTTGACCTTTCGGCCTCCTTTTTTTTTTAGTTTTTCCTGCTTCTTGACCTGCACCCACGGCTGCCACACAGTTCTCATTTTTACTGAGCTTTCGGATTTTTGTAGTACACCCGTTTCCCTCTTTGCTTTTAGTTTCTGACGACAAATCTGACGCTACTAGGCCTGTTTAAAAACAACTAAGTCCATCCTCCATTGCACTTCTTGCATATCTTGTGGATTTAAGGTGGAATAGCATCAACAGAGATCACCGTTTGATCATATAGCTGCTTGAAAACGACGCGTGAATGGATGCAGATGAAGGTAACGGCAGCGCACTTGAGGGAGCTTTTTTTTTTTCTTTTTTTTTTTGCTTTTTAAATTGTTTGAGTTCTTCCACAGTCTTAACTTATTTTCCTGGCCCCCTCCTGTAAAATTAGGTATTTTTGGGGGTGGGGGCGGGTGGAGTAAATCTAGTCTTAAATTAGGATTACGGACTAGTGGCTTCTAAAATTTAGGTCCACTGCGAGAAGCAGCATCTAAAATTCTCATGTTGGTCTAGAATAATCTTAATTCCACTTTAACCACAATGAGTCCCCGCCTGTTCACAAAGCCTTTGATGTGTTTTTGGATTAAATTGCTGTTTTTAAAAAAAATTTGATTTATAATTGAGATTGACTGCATTGAATGGGGTTCTGTTATGCACATTTCCAGCTCCATGTGTCCTTTTTTTTCCCCCCCCTCTGGCTTTGCATGATTCAGTTAAAAATAATCCTTATTTATCCTATCCTGGCCTCTGGTGCAGTTTATTTTATCCACTGTCTCAAATGAGCTGTTACAGCTCCTGTCCCTTTAAGACAGCTGTCCTCTCATTGGCTATCCCTGACAAACTGATGGTTTCAATTGTCATCTATATTAAGGCTCGCCTTGACATCGCACAAAGCCAGGAGTAGATAAACATGTCTGAAACAGTGCTTCTGTGTTAAACTCTGAGTGTTTTGGTTCACAGAGAGGACGTGTACATATGCTGGATCCACTACTGTAACAGCACACCAATGACAGATAATAATGGAAATAATAATGAAAAGCCTGCTACAAGTACGTGGAGTTAGAGGCTGTTATGTGAAGTAGACACACTTGGTATAAATGCTTGGTACTAAAATAATCTGGTACCAAAAAAAAAAAAAAAAAGGGGTTTGAGGAGAAAAATCTTACGGGATCCTGGGATGAAAGCTTTGGTTGTTTCCTGCTAAACGTACATTCTGCACCTGGAGACATGGTGGTTTTTCTTGCTTGGTTGAACTCTGAGGAACAGAAACAACTAAACATGCTTGTTTGCGGGGACTAGACTATCTGATTGAATAGTACAGTAAAAAAAATTTTGTACTTCATATGTTACAATTTCAAAAAAAGAGGATGTTGTACATAGAGGTAGGAGATCGATGGACTGACAGTCTCTCTCAGGTTAATCAAACATAATCAAACCTCATCTGTTGTACTTAACAGCCACGCTGTCAGTCAGTCAGCCGCTGGCTGGATTGGATTGACCCACGGCTCAGTCTTGTTACCATCCTGTTTAAAGAAACAACCGGAAAGTAGTCCTGGTATTCAGGAGGAGATTTTTGTTTAGTTTTATTCTATTCTTTGAAAATGTGAAGTTGCATGAAAGTAAATGTAACAAAGTTTGAACAGAGACTGGATCTGCACTCGGTGGTCATATTCAATCCAGGCATGTGGGCAGTTAAAACAAATAATCATAAAGAATTTAAAAAGGCTCACTGGGAATAAAAAATAAAATAAAATAAAAAATCTTATGTGAAAATGTAATTTTTGGAAATGAGCCTGAATTTAATTTACTTTGAAGTCAGTGAGGACTTAATTTTTTTTTTTTTTTTTTTTTTTTAATGGTTCCAGATACAAAAAATTCCAGATACTGCTTTTGGTCTTTTCTCAACATGTATATAAATATATATAAATATATAAGCTGTTGTGGATCCATCTTCATTTCTTGGCCTTTTACAGGAGAAACACTTTTTTAAACATGATGTTAATAAAAGGCAAAAAAACCCAAAAAAAAAACCTCGGTGTTTGAGAGTGAGTGTTCCAGTCCTGTCCGTAAATGACAATGAAAGGGAAAACTAAGTCATTCTGCCTTGTCAGTGTTTTATGTTACAAATAATGTTACAAATAAAGGAAAGTTGTTTGACTTTTCAAGAAATGCCTCCTTTTCTTTACTTTTTTTTTTTTTTTTTAAACATAAGTGAATTTCCATCAGGAAAAGAGGATATGTATGGAAATGTTTAATATATTTTGTATTTTTCTTTTTATAGGTAATTTTTCAGATTTTCATTATGCTGTTGTTACACATGTAGCTGCGTCAGAATGTGTTAGGGTTGCCGATTTGCCTGTATAGACCATTCACTAATGCTTAACATATAGGTGTGGTGTATATTGCCAACATATAGAACGCACTGTGGAGTGATTTAAAACAATATGTTAAATTTGACCTCTGACCTCTCCAAAGTCAGTAGAACTAAAGGTCAAATAATTGTTTTTTAGTTTCTTCCTATCACTGTTTCTACTGACAACATACAGGTACATATGGAATTTTATATATTGGGATTCAAAATATTTAAATTATAATTTGCATTCAAATACGATGGCACATTTGACCTCTGACCTCGCTGTTCTAGCTTTCTTTCAAGTTGACCCTATAATGCAACCTTTAAAGAAAAAAATCCTCTAACGAAAGTACTGTCAAGAAAATGAGCTGCCTATGTGAACCTCCTTTTTAAGCTTTTAAAAATATTTGTTTTATCAAAATGAGTGATAATTAATTTGATAAGTACTTTTTTTTTCTTTCATTTTTACGCTGCACAGATTTCTGTGCCGCTTCTGGAACTGTCTGTGTGGCTGTGAATGTTTCGAGGGGGATTCCTTTTCGCGTCGCACAGAAACCGGACGCTGTTGGTACATTAGCTGCAGAAAAAATGTCATAGTTGAGCCGAATGAATGGATGCTGTGAGGTGCCTTTGCTCACATCTGTCCAAAATGACATGAACCTCTGAGCTTCCATCGCTCAGCTCCGCCGATTGTCGCCTCCGGTAAGAAAAAGAAAAGAAAAAAAATGGGAATGTTTGTGCTTGTCTGGTTAATACAGCTTAGCTTCCACTGGTTTATCATTGAGTTCAATTTAGATTCATGTTATTCGACCTCGTCGGGAGTTAGGCCACACTGACCCGTGCACAGCTCCAACCTTTCCTCAGTTAGCTTCTCAGAAACGTCCCGCTGCATGGGGATGCTTTCCCTCTTAGCTTGTTAGCAAGCTAAATGTTGCTTGTGTCAAATTGGGTACATTTGAACTCAGTTTAGCTCCTCGGTTACAGCCTGCACAACTTCATCAGAACATAAACAACTGGATTAATAAGAAAAGCGTGAACAAGTTGCACTTTCTGTCAACTTTCAGCTAGTCAGGGCACCATGGCAACGAGGATGAAGCTAAAGCTGAAGACTGTATTTTTGCTCTACTTCATGGTCTCGCTCCTGGGCCTCATCTATGCACTGATGCAGCTCGGTAAGTGAATCCTACCTATGAGCAGAATGAATAATGGTATAAAATTTCAGCATCAGCAGGTGTAAAGGAGTCAAAAATGTGCAAACCTGAGTGGCAGAGCTTCACTTTGATTTGTTTGTGCAGGCCAGCGCTGTGACTGTACAGAACATGACTTCCCTAAAGACCGCACCATATCTCGACTGCGTGGGGAACTACATCGTCTTCAGGAGGAGATGAGGAAGTTTGAAGTAACAAAGCAACCTCAGAAGCAGCCAGCCAAACCGTCCCTGCCCACCATCTTTGTTATCACGCCGACATATGCAAGGTAGTCTTCCAAGCGACCGTTGCTTGGTGTCCACCCTCCGCCGTGCGTTCCTGCACTGATCTCACCCTCTCTCCGATTTCCATCTGTTTTCAGGCTGGTGCAGAAGGCCGAGCTGACTCGTATGTCCCAGACTTTTCTCCATGTCCCTCGGCTCCACTGGATCTTGGTGGAGGACTCGCCACACAAGACGCCTCTGGTGACCGACCTGCTGATGAAGAGCGGCCTGACCTACACTCACCTACACATGCCCACCGCCAAGGACCGCAAACTACAGGAGGTTCGTTCAATTTTTTATTTTTTTTGTCTTATCCATGCATGTTCTTGTAATTTTTTTGTTTGTTCCTTATTTAAAAACACTGAGTCATTCTCCTGCTCAGGGTGACCCCAGCTGGCTCAAGCCCCGTGGAGTGGAGCAGAGAAACGAAGGGCTACGGTGGCTTAGAGAGGACAGGAGGGCTCAGCCAGGAGGGGATAACCAGCAAGGAGTGGTGTACTTTGCTGATGACGATAACACATACAGCCTGCAGTTGTTTGAGGAGGTGGGATATTTAAGTGTGTGACTATGTTTATTTCTTTCACTATTAGGCTTATTGCTGATGCCTGCGAACAAATGTCCTCTTTTCCTCAGATGAGGAGCACACAGCGGGTGTCAGTTTGGCCGGTGGGCCTGGTTGGAGGGATGAAGTATGAGAGGCCTGTGGTTGAAGGAGGAAAGGTAAGGTCACTGACATTTTGCCATGCTGCTGTTTTTAAAGATGCAAAAATCCCCTGCATCTAACTGCACCTAAGAGCTAAGCTTTTCAGCTTTTTCATCTGATCTAAAATACTGAGATCATATTTACGATGGCTTGTTTAAGGTCGTTCGCTTCCATACCGGCTGGCGTCCCAGTCGGCCCTTTCCGATCGACATGGCTGGCTTCGCCGTTTCCCTTAAATTGGTCCTGGCCAATCCAGAGGCATGCTTTGACGGAGAGGCACCAATGGGCTTGCTGGAAAGCAGCTTTCTTCAGGGACTGGTTACCATGGATGAACTGGAGCCCAAAGCAGACAACTGCACTAAAGTGCGTGTGTGTTAAGAGATAAGAATTGTCTATAATTATTTTAGAACAAATGATTCAGTGTGAAATGCTGAAGTCTTCAGTCTTTTCTCTTTATGATTTATGGGAATCGCAGAAAAAGAGACCTTTAAGAAAGAAGTGTTCGTGCATTGGCATTTGCAGTAGTTGCATTACGATTCTAGTAACAGTTTATATATAAGGTCACGTGTAGTAATAGTGTGTTTGTGTGCTTTGCAGGTGCTGGTGTGGCACACACGGACAGAGAAACCGAAGATGAAGAGAGAGGAGGCGCTGCAGGCTCAGGGACTGGGTTCAGACCCTGCTGTGGAGGTCTGAGGGACACGCATGCACATCAACACACACTCACACACACATGCGCACACAGTGTGTGATTATATTCTGCTGTTAATGCTGCATACGTAACTGCATTGTAAATACTGTAAACACTAAAGTACAGGAGAGAACCTGGTTTTGAGAGACTGTTACACCCGGTTGTAAATATAGATGTGTATCGAGTGTGTGTTTTGTCATAACTGTGCTGATTGTATGTTAGTGTGTGCGTCTTTTTCGTTTTTGAGTTTGCGATCCTTGTTTAGCAGTACAGTCAGTGTCAATGTTAAACTACTACCTGATGGGGGCGCCAGTGTATTAGTTTGTGAAGCCTTGCTGCTGGAGCACTGCGGCTTAAAACTGGAGGGAGGGTGCGTCTCATAGCAGGGTCGTCTTGTATCACTTCTGTTTACTCGTAGCTCAGTTAGACGCCTGTGATGTTTCCCGTTCCCGGCAGCAGTTAGATGTTTTTATCAGGGGCTGGAGGTATAAATGATGTGACAGGCAGAAACCGTGTATATAGCTTTTCCAAAACATGGAGTGGTATTTTAAAAAGAAGGATTTGGTTTTTCATTTCATTATTTTTAAATAGTGAGTTGAGCCAATATGATGATGAAGAAAGAAGGGGGAAATGCAGACAACCAAGCTTGTCATTTTTTGTGAGTGTCTCATTCACAAACTGCCTTGTAGGGGGAAAATTACTAAATTTTATCATTATTGTTAGATGATCATAAATGTTTGTGGCTTCATGTTATTGTGGGGAAAACCTTTGCCTAGCATGCCAAAGATCCCCGGATTGGGACTAGGAGGTGACACAAATGCAGCGTCGGGGTAGAACAAGTCAGTGTACTCCTATTAGCAGTCCCAAGGGTTAAGTCTGCAAGGATGACCCCATGGGAAGTAAGGGAGCAGCTCAAAGGACCCTCGTGTACATTTCAGTAGTGCGGGTGTGATAATGAAGTACGAAAGGTTACTTTGAAGGTGTTGGACTGTTTATTACCCCAGTTTTGCTCACACAGCAGATTTGGGCTGGTGATGATTTCAGAACACATTTATCTTTTTTTCAATTCTGGGTCTGAATTTTATGTTTAGTGATGCTGAGCTGCTTATTTGAGCTCATGTCTAAGCGTTTTGTGCAAACTGTTATTTTTATATACAAATGATTAACAAGGGAAGCGTCTACTAGACTCTGACAGATACAGGACATTTGTGGTAGATACCGATATTTAGGGGGTTTAAAGCAAAAACCTGATACTGATATCTAGAGTATGTCAGTCACATGGATATAATGTGTACCCTGGTTTAGCAGTGCAGCCTTCAGTGTCGTTCCAGTTTTCAGGCCAAGGATCAGTTACAACTGTGCACTTAGTTCATGCATGGCTTCTGATTTTTGTGTTTGTAAGTCAATATTCAGGATGTAGATCCTTTTTTTTTTTCTTTTTACCCCTAAAAACAAGTCATCAGCATCAAAGCAATGTCAATAATCTTTACTCAAACTGTAATAACAATGTCTAGGATTAAGCATTGTAGAGCCAAGGCAGTGAATACTTACTACGTCTTTTTTTAACAATAAAAATATCCATGACTGAGACGGTGCTCTCTAAACACGCCGAGCAGTGAACAAACCCCACGGACGACTTGCTGTTGCGTCTTTATTAAGCCCTCAACGACCCGTGTTGCAGACAAAGTGGTGCAACTTAGCAACACGGGCACGACAAACACCCGCGTAATGGATCCACACCCAACGCACAACTTCTGGGTTGTAACTGGTGTCATCACACCACAGCTAGTTTAACCCAGTGTTTTGTGAGCAGCTTTAGTGATGCTTTTTAAAAACCACGCTCAAAGTGGAAACCATTTAAGGCAGTGATTAAACAAACATCTCTGCTGAAGCGCATATAAACGAGTTGTGCAATAAACAAACGTGTTACGTTTCGACACTGCTGCGATCAGAAAAACACTTGAATTTGCCTCCAGCGGGCAGGAAATCCCTGGTACTTAAAGATTGCCGAATATGGAAACTCGAGCTGTGCTTCGTCATCTTCCACACTCCCTGCAATGCAACAGACGCTGTAAAAACAGCTAGTGCCTGCTTACGTGTAATTAGTGCCTGTAAGTAACTTCTCTACTGGTGTATAACGTATTTATTACTGTTCTTTACATTGTACAGTGTGATCATGTCTGTCCCTGGCCTTGGAAATAAAAGTAATGAAAAACACACTTTGTCACTTTTGTTTGTCTCCAGTTCTTTTGAACTTAAGTGAAGCTTTTTTTGTCTTTAAAATTAGTTTTGTTTTTTTAAACAGCAGTTATATTGAAAATCATGGAGGTAGTCTGCGGTGAGACAGGCTTTTGCGGCGTTTAACCTTTGCTGCCTGCAGCAACTTGACACACCACATTCATTGTGCACATCTGTTCTCTGAGCGTGTCACTTTCAGTAGTCAAGCTGTGATATATGACTTGGTCCCTCTCCTCTGACCTGTCACGCAGCGTGTCTGTTATTTTTATCACGTTGTCTGCACCTAGCATCGTCTATAACGCCGTCTTCCAGCCGGATGTTCTGCACATTCACCACATCCTCACCTCACCGTCCAGATACCGAGCCCCAACTTGTCTGTGCCTGACAGCGACCATTGCAACCTGCTCAGTCATGGGTGATTACTCTCTCGTGGGCGGGGATTCTCTAACCTCGGAACAGCTGAAGTTGCGTGATTGACAGCTGGTACGCCCTCTCTAAGGGGAAGCGGCCCACTTGGTGACTATATTTGGAGCGTGTGGAGGTGTACTCGCGGAGGGACTCCAAGATGAAGATGCAGTGGGAGATGAGTAAGAGGAGCTGAAGTCAGAGCTACATGCACGCCACTGTTGGTCCTCGATGAGTCACAAGTGCAGCTGCACGAACACGCAGTAGACGATATTAGTGGTGATACTGAAAGAAGTTGTATTATTACCTGTAAAAGTATGAGCTTCACTGTCATGAATAACACATCATTAAACTCCTTTTAATCTGTGTGTGTTCCTGATGGTGTGTCATCACAGCTGCAGGGGAACCCTCTGCATGCGTTTACATGAAGGTGCACAAAGGGCTATTAAATGTGACACGGGCAAAAAAGCAGGCATTGACACACACACACACACACACACAGAGGTAAACAGCTCCCACTCCCAGTCCCACCCAGACCAAGTGTTCACTGTGCAAACACTACCATATCATTGACCAGGCCAACTGATTTTAATCCGTATACACACACTCCTACTCCAGGGTTTACCTGCATTAGAAGTTAACAGTTCAGGGTGTTACACTGACTCGCGTGTGGTTTTTAAATGTCTTCTTGTGGCGAGCAAATCAAGGATGCAACCAATTACGGGAGGTTTTGTGCAAGATTTGCAGAGAGATTAATGTGTTATTTGTGTTTGGATGAATGTATCTGTGTTTTGAGAGAATAACATGTTTCACAGGAACGCCTTCAATTTGAATCACGACCAAGATTCGTGCAAGAGTGGAAAAACTATAGTTGTTCTCTACATATCAGTCAGTCTAGTTTAGGCCATTCAACAGGCCTAGTTGTCCTAGGGTGAGGCACAGGGTACACCCTGGACAGGTCCCAGCCTGTCACAGGACCAACACAGGAACTGACAACCGTTCACACCTATGGCTAATTTAGAATGACCAATTGACCCACTGTCTTTTGACTACGAGAATAAGCCAGAGTACCCGGAGAGAAACCATGCAGACACGAGGAGAAAATGCAAACTCCACACAGACAGGCTGCAGGTGGATTTGGACCCAAGACCTTGCTAGCCAAGATAAGCACACTGATAAGAAATAGTTACAATCTTTCAAGGACTCCTGGGGCACCAGCAACTTCTACTGATCCACTTGAGGTTTTGCCTAAGAACCTGTTTCAGACACTGTTCAGCCTGAGGCCAGCCAGCAGACTTCTGATTTTAGTAGGCATTTCCCATGCAAATTCAGGAGGCCTCTGGCATATCTGGAAGACTGTTTTCTCGCAGAGCTAGGAATGTGGGATCGTAGTCTGATATCGACGTATGGCACCGTTTTATGTTCAGACCATCTAAAAGGTCTCTGACACTGGCTTTGGTCTTCCTGTGGATCGTTTGACTCGTTTTGACGCATAGATTTGAAGTGCGATTGTGTCAATGCCGAGTGTTTGCAGACGAGTCGACGTCTTTCGTACGAGCTGCAGATGGCAGTCTGCTAGAAATCCGAGCACAGTGAGGTCTTTGGTGCAACACCCTCTTTGTGTTCATCGTGCAACTAAAGAACAGGGATGCTCTACTGAATCCAGTTCATGCCACATTTGTATGCTTTGAAAGCGTTTGGTGGGATTGTCTGCACTGAAACGACACCTCCCTAAGTATTGCAAGTGTCCTGCATCGACCGCGTTTTCTCTTGTTAATGCACTTTAATTTGTGAAGCTCTTTCTTTCATTAAAACTTTCATTAGAATGTGACCAATTATTTGCCTTGTGGAGAGAGGACAAGGCCAAACAAGTCATTGATCTTTGGGCGTGCTTGTCCAAATTTGACCAGAGAAGAGCACGGCATACCCTCCACGACACTATTGTGCCATCTGTGAAGAGAACAAAAAGCTACGTACGTTTTAAGGGAGTAAAACAATACTGCTGTTGTAGAAATACCAGTGATAAATCAGTGCATCCACCGGTGCTCAGTGGAAACAACAGCTAACGTTAAATTGGCAAACTTTAAAAAGTCAACAAACCCTCAAGACAGCAAGTTACTGATGTGTAGCACAGATCATCTCTTTCATGGTGATTTTTGATTCATTCAAAAACAAAAACATTTTTATAGCTTCTCTATGTTCTCATGCTATTCAGCAGAACTAAAAGATTCATATAAAACTATTAATCGAATAATAAATTATGGTGTGACTGAGTGAATGTGGTGTACACTTCAATGACTAAACAATTACACAGAGTCTGAAATGTTTGTTAATACAGAACATGTGTACTTTTACTCCAGAAAAGGTTTATGTACAACTACATTACCACTTTTCTATGTATAGGATTTATGGCAGGATACCTCTTCCCTGTGTTTCCCTGTGTTCTGTAGCTCCACAGCTGGAGACCAGAGTGATGAATCTACAACAGACATAACTAAAGTTAACCTGCTGGTTAGCTGCACAGAGCTGCACCCACAATTCACAAAAATTAGCCCACCTAGCATGCAGCAGCTATAAGTTACAAGACCCTTTAGATCTGCACAAAGTGACAGAAACAAACGTAACTGTTTTATCAGATCAGGTCAGACTAGTGATGGCTAAATGAGGCCTCACGGAGTGTGCGCTACATGACCCTTACCGTGTTTACACCGTGTTGGTGTGTTGCTTAATAGCGACATCTGCTGGGTTTAAAAATCATTGCAGGCACGCTGGATAAATTCATTCATTCAGGTCAGAATGGTACATAAATGTTATATTCCTGATGTTAACAACACATTCTGTGAAGAAGTGATCTGGTGATCCTTATTTCGCCCTTATGGCCTAACATGCCACTCCACTGGCAAATGGATACAGTCCAGCTGATCTTCTCATGGGAAGGAGGATAAGGACAACTATTCCTGTCATTCCATCACAGCTAATAATAAGCTAACAAACTTACAGACAAAAACAGAGACAAAACTGCAACCGCAGACACAGACCACATGACAGGCAGCCTGGATAAAAAGTGTGGAGAGAAACTGAAGTCAGTTGATTCGTTCTGATATCTGGACACCAAGCGAGTGACGAATTGTCCTGTTAACGTAACCAGCTGATGATAAAGTGCTAACTGAATGAAAGCAAAAATGTATATTCCAAATAATTAGATTATAAAATGATCGATTAATGCAGTATGTAAATGGGTTTTGTACTTTGGACAGGTCGCCAGACTGTCACAGGGCTAACATTTAACCCAACCTCACTAATTACATATTGTTGGACTGTGGGGGGAAGTCCTAGTATCCAGAGTAGTATCCAGAAAGTTAACAGACTGTTCAGGTAAGCCTCTCCAGGACCAACAGGATATACAGAGTCCCCACTGTATGTTGTTGTAATGCATAAGAGTGCAATAACTGAGCTCACAGGCAGAATAAAGTTGATAGAGTTTTTATAAAAGGTTCATCTATAAAGAGCTGTTTAAAACAAAGTATGAGGTAAATCAGAGATTGGATGATCATAGTTTCTAAGTCATAAGGCTTCGTGTCCATCTCGGACCAATAAATCATTTATTTGACCATGGAGACCTTGGTGCATTGAGCACTGAAGGCAAAACTTTGTTGACTCGACCCACCGCTGCATCCCTGCAAAGCCTCTATAGCTGGATCCCGCGAGTTTACCCAGCAAAGGTAGGACGTGCGTTGCTGCTGAGATTCTTTTCAGTAAGTTAATATTTGACCTGTTTAATACATGGCGTTATCTCTAAGTCAGTGTGTGTTCAAGGATGTAATGACAAGGTGTGTGTGTAGGTGGAGAGAGGGAGAGTGTTTTACAGCGTGTGTGTGTGTGTGTGTGTTCGTACCAGTGACGAAGACTCTGCAGGTCTGGGCAGGGTTGGCGTGTGACGTGTATGAGGGCAATAAGCAGCGCTCCCGGCTCCGTGTCACTCACTCAGACTCACACACCGAGAGGGGAACGAGACGAGAGCGAGAGATCTGGTAAGGCTGCAACTATTTCTTCACCTGTTGAAGGCGTTACTGTTTAATATGTGGTAGCAGGCGTTTCTGTTCACTCCTGTTTAATGCTCTCACTATTGAGCTGCTTCTCAGCCCTGTTTCATTTTTAACACTTTAATTTAGTCATCCTTTTTTTTTTATTCGCCTCCTATTACACAACACCTTTCAGTCTTTATTTTGCAATCTGCACATTATATGAAACGTTACCTGCACTTCGCAAGTCTTCGAGATTTCCAGGACGCCGTTTGTCAGAGCACAGAAGGACGTTTTTTGGTTTCCTCTTCTGTTTGCCACCCTTGTAACAATCCAAAGTCTTCATTTGTTTTAAAAAAACAAAGCTGATCTGGAAAGGACACCAAATATGTCTGCAGTTTCTGGTTATTAGCAGGAAGTGTACTCCTTCAGAGGAGCATTAGTGTGGACTTTGTTGTTATGTAACTTGCGGTGAAACGGTTTACAAGGTGATCGCAGAGGGGAGGGGAAGCGATCTTGCACCTTTTCACTGCAGGGTCAAAACCCCTGAGT